TCCTCTTCCTCTTCCTCTTCATCATCACTTCCAACAGATTTAGCCCGCACAATGGCTACCTACAGGCCACAAAGATATTTGTATATTTTAAAATTAAAATACCAATTCTTTTTTTCAATGTTCCATTTTTTCAGAACCAGTAAATTTGCTAAAGCTTTTGACACTGACTTGTGGTTGAATATTTATGAAACCACTTTTTTTTATTGCAACCGTTCTGCTGTTTTTCATCCTAAACCGTTAAGAGCAATCATAACAATAGGTAGATTATAATGATAATTTACCAATACATATGCAGCTAATTTTTATTTGAGAAAAATAATACAAATGGGTCATGTTATGAATGCTAATTGCCATTGTGATCACCATATGATTGGGATATCCTTAGAAAGTGATTAAGTTCCTTGTTCAGAGTCCTCCTGGCCAGCATTTTGTGGTTCTTTGATTCATCTGAACCATATTTTTGTGAAAACCTAAATATATTGAATTGTTAATCATTGTTAATTTGACTAATCATTATCATAACCATCACCATCACTACCTGGATGCAAGATCTCTTCTGAGGCAGGATCCTCAGGATCATGTCATGATCATCATCCACAAAAAGGTTGGCTTGTTGGTAGAAGAGCCTAGGCTCATAGCCTCCCTGATGCTGTGACCACTGCACAAGCCTCACAAGGAGTCGGTAAAAGAGACCTTCAGGCAAGAACCCATTGAAGTCAATGTACAGGATGACCACTGATTTGGACTTCATTAGCTGATCCATGCACACCATCTCATCTTCTTGCTTCTTTAGCAGGGATGGTACATAGAAGAGACGATTCCCTTCCTTTGGTGATCCGACAACGGCTGGAATCTAACAGAAAGCAAGTAACCATTTAATATACCATAATGTGCATGGTAACAGTAAAATGATCTGAAAAGGCTTCTAAAGTATCTGAAAGAGATAGTAAAGATTAAACAGACCAATCAGAGCATCTGTACCTCAGAAGATTGTGCCTTGACACAAAGCAAGTCAAACTTCTGCATCAGCTGTAACAAGCCTTCTAACTGGTCAAGGAAGTCATGCCACATGTGTTGGATCAGCCTCTCTTCCAGGAGTCCTTCTTCATCAAGTCTTGCCCATGAACTTCTGAATTTGGCCCACTTAAATACAAAGAAAAATTCTTATATTCTTAAAAAAATTACTCTCACAAATATAATTATATAATAATATTATTATGTAATTATTAAAAGAAAATTGAAAGAAATTGTCCTACTTGCTCTGACGGATCCTTGACTGTGATCACTCTCCTAAAGATACATATTAACCAATGAGGATTCAGGATGATGATGTCATTGAGAGCACTGCCTGGTGTATGCCGTTCACCGTAGTAGATGATGTTTCCGAGGTCATGGTAGAAATGCAACATAGTGAACAGTTGAATTTCTTTGATGACACCACACTTTGCAGCTAGTTCTTTCACCTATTATTTAAAATTTAAAGCAATTATGAAATATTTGTATATACACTACATCAGTTCCAACTACATATCCTCATAAAAATGAATTTTATTCACAAGAGTTTGTAAAAATATAAAATAAATTTCTTAAATTTAACAAAATTGCACCACTCTCTCAAATAATTAAGGTTTCTAAAAGCAGCAGATCAACCATCAAACAATTATAAAATGTAACCACCTTGGGCATGTCATTTCGAAACACGCATGCAGATATCACATGTATGCATATAACACCCAACTGTACATAGCATTTAAGCCTGAGTCACTTGACGATGCAATCCGATCTATGGAAGTATGTTTAAATGATGTCAAGTTATGGTTGGCACTAAACAAGCTATGTTTTAACACTAGTAAAACAGAAGCATTGTATATCCACTCGCGCTATCGAAAAAACTTACCGAATGCATTCTGCATTGTGTTGGCGATACTACTATTGTTCCATCTGTTTCTGTTGCAACATCGGCGTTACATTTGACTCTACAATGACGCTTAAGAAACATGTAACCAACATTTGCAAATCTGTTTCTTACCACATCAGAAACATCAGGCATATCAGACGGTTTCTGAACGAAGAAGCTACATTGAAACTTGTGCACTCTCTTGTTACATCTAGAATCGACTATTGTAATGGAATCTTATGTGGACTACCATATGCATCGATCAAGCGAATTCAACTTCAATTAAATACTGCCGCACGTCTCGTCAAACAAATACCGAAAACTCACCACATCACCTCTACATTGAAAACACTTCACTGGTTTCCAGTAAGGCAGCGCATTATATTTAAGATCCTTGTTCACACCTTTAAATGCCTTCACAACTTATCGCCTACGTACCTGACCGATCTTATCCATCTCTGGTCATCAACATGTTATCTAAGTCTATGTTCCACCTCATGTCCATATACTTTATCTACCCCTTTAATTCGTTCTAAATATGGAGAGAGGTCCTTTCAAGCTGCTTCTCCCAAGCTATGGAATGCACTCCCTATTGAGATCCGACAGTCTCCTTCTCTATCCATTAAGGAGAGACTCAAGACCTACCTTCTTCAAACTTTTTAATTTTTCCTTTTTTGTTGTTTTACCTTTGTTGTTTTACTTTCATCATTTAGTTTTTCTAGGATAGGCAAGTCTAGACATCACCTGAGCATCTCTGAGTTACAATCCTGCAAACCACTGCTTGCATGTGGTCTCAAATTGCAGGAAAACGGTGCGGTGATGTTGGTTCCCCTGCGATAGTCTGTTTTCTCATGCTTTTTTTAAATTCTTAGGTCGCTTGGTTAGACTTTAGGATTTAGTTTTTGGTTTGTTTTCTTTCGTGTAACTTAAGCGCATAGAGACCATGTAGTATGCGCTTTACAAGTGCCAAACCATTACCATTACCACCTCCTATGGTAACTTGGTGTAACATAACAACCACCTGTGGTAACCAAGGTGTAACGTAACGTCGAGTTGTGGTAACCAATATGAACAGAAGCAAAGGTGTAGCATAACAACCACCTGTGATAACCACAGAATAAAATACCAACCACCTTGCTATCCAAGGAATAAAATACCAACCACCTCTGGCAACCAAGTTGTACCATAACCACCTGTGGTAACCGAGGTGAAACATAACCACCTGTGGTAACCAAAATGTAACTTAACCACCTGTGGTATCCAATATCTGAGTTGTTATACCATAACAACTGCTGTGGCAATTAATGGGTAACATAAGAATCGTCTTCAAAATAAAGAGTAATCCACCAGTCTTAACCAAGTTGTGAAACATTTACCTAGCAAACAACCTACTGCTACTTGCCTCTGTGAAGTTGATTGAGTGCGTTTGCTTGTTGCGCAACTGCTCAATCTCATGCAAGAAATCCAGCCACTTAATGGGGATTCTCTCCCCCATGTAGTGCTCTAACTTAGCAACCTCGGTGATGTGGTCCCTCAAGTGAACAATGGCTTGATCCAGGGGTGACCTGAGGCTGTTGTCAATTGCGTAGTACTTGCTCACTACATGGCCCTCATATGGTGTCCCTCTTAATGCCTTCTTAATAACTGCAAACTTCTCTTCTGCCTGTCAATCAAATAGAATATAGAAGAAAACAACATAATACACAGTACCCAAATAAATCAATAGTACTTGTATATTTGAATAAGTTAATACTCACTAGCGCTTGTCTCTCTTCCGCATTTCCTGGTAAGCTTTCTCTATGTGTGCCAGCAATGAACACTGGTGGTGAGAACTGCTCCTGGTTTGCCACCGATGGGTTTTCGGTGGTATTTGAGTAGATTGACCGCAACCAGAAAATTATAAAATCCAAGTTGCTCATATGATGTTCCGAAAATGAAACCTATTAGAAATAATAATAATTTTAAAACCTTTTTTTTATAATTAACTTTATTGGAAAAGTTGGTTCTATTCCTATTTTTTTTTCGTTCTTTAACTACTCATACATACTCAATAATAATGTCACATAATTTTTTTTGTATGACTTGTTTTGTTAAAATTTGAATATTGTACATATGTGTATGAATAGTAGCAGCCCTTGATGGCTTATAATTGCAAAATCCCAATTAAATTTAAATTGAAGATTAAAAAAAAAATACCTTTCCACCCTCTCGCTTATATATCTGTACTTTAGCAGGTGCATGGAGGTCATGGCAAAGATTGAAGCAAATGATGTAGAGAGCACGAGATACCAAGAACACCTGAAACAATAAAATACATATACACTTTTTATCTGGTCGTTTTAAATGTGTCTGGATAATTAAAATAGAGCTGGTCTAATATATATTTGAATAACTTAAAAAATAAATAAAATTTATCCTGATAATAACAAAACATACTAATGCACATGAACATATAAAAAAGCATTCAAGTAGTATTAGACTACAAATTGAAATCTTTAATGCTCTTAATGCTAACCAAAAAAAAAAACAAATAAAAAATTTAAATAATCTATCTCTTCTTGCTAAGGTTTGAAATTGTTTGACTTTCTGGCAACCATACCTGGTGAGTGATATAGTAGAGATCCTGTCCAGCAAAATCCCAGATACTCAGAATCAAGTCATCAAGTGTCTCCTCTAACCCTTCATTTTCTTCTCGCCTTTCTTGATCTTGGAGAATCTGTAAGACAATTTGAACGACCTCTTCCGGAACATCAGGTGTTGTTGGTGAAGTTAAATCACCTACTGATGAAGTATTCTTTAGAGCATCTACCTCACCATCTGAGGCTGGCACATCTGTCAAGTTAATGTTAATGTTAACCCCTATTATTTAATGTCCAACATATATTTAGGTACATATCTGTACAATATTCGTCAGCCCTATCCACATCCCTATTTATCTATTATTCATTAAGTTATTCAACACTCCATACATCTGTCTGCATTTCTGTATTCAGGCAATACTTTTTCATAATATGATAAAAGTTTGCTGCAAAAATATAAATTAAAGTTTAATAATACCTTCAGATGATGTCATTTGGTCATGTGACTGCACAGGTGCATCAGGTGATGTGTTTGTTGACTTGGTAACATCCGGTAATTCTACACTTTCAAATGTCTTGATTTCATCTTTCACTGATGGCTGTATGGTATAAAGATATTTTATTTACAAACATAGAAATCCTATCCTTTTTATCGTTATTAAAAAAGCACATAAAATACATACTGAATCATGCAAACTTTTTAAGATAAATGTCTGTACTTAAAGCCAGGCATGCAATGCGCTCATACGATTCCATTGACAATGAAATCCAACAAAGCGATAAATTGTTTTCAATCCGCTCACCAAGTATCAACAAGCGATGTTGCGTCAAAAAGAATTTAAAGACAGCCTAGATGGATTTGGTTGTCAAAGGTCATATGACGAAGTTTGTGACTGGCTTTATACAGGCAAAACATTGTGGCTGTTGAAAGTGCAGTTTAGTGTTCTTGCAAATGACATCATAATTTGTATTTTTTTAACATTAACCTTTCTCACTATCACTTTAAATATCCTCATTTTTTTTTTATGCATTTAGGTCACTGTATAGGTTTTAACAAATAATTATGTAAAAGCACAACATTTAAGGAAGAGAAATAAGTATGGTATGTTAACAATGCAACGTTCAAGGGCTGGCATCTTGAAGTCCTGTTCTAGTCACTAAATTAACATTATTATAGTCGCCTCATCACTAAAAATACTAATTATATCACTCATAAAATTGTTTATAGTTTGTCATACAATGATATATCTCCACAGATATACAAACCTGAGATTCTGGTTGTTTTTCATTTTTCTTCTGCAGAAGCTTTACTGCAACCTGTTCTGCAATAGCTCTCAGATACTGCTGCCTTGCTTCACTTATTGTCCCTTTGAATAAAAAAAAATCTTTCAGTCAGATTTATTCAAGGTTATCACAGTTACTACTATTAAAATGAACCATCCATGGTCAATCTACTTGATTTCTTATTCTTTTATGTGGAACAAGCAATATTTAGAAGCTACAATATCATTGCTCAATTTAAATAAACCAGGTGTATTGATTTAGATACCTTCAGGTGATTTCGGTTGTGGTTTCCAGTTGGTGGTATGCTTAACACTGAGTGTGCATGACAATGACGCTTCAATTCCATCAGTAACTTCTTCAGTAGCGTCAAATCTGAGCAAAAATAAATCAAATATAAACCAATGATTTAAATAATCTTTCCAAAATAATTATATTTGGAGACTTAGGAAGCAGGTGGTCTCTGTTTATGCAAGTACTTTCAACAGGTTATCCAAAATATATTTTAAATAAACCTACCATAAACCCAAAGCGAAAACTTACTCTTGTTCTGTAAGGGCTTTGGTGAGACTGGTTTTACCAACACGCTCTGGTCCAACAAGCATTAGGCGTGTTTGGTAGATGGGTTTGCTGCCCTCTTGTATTGCATCAATAAAAGCATTATTAGCCTCCAGACCTCTTGCTAGCACTTCAAGTGGGACTTGACCTGTATTAATGATTAATGAATGGATAGATCAGTATTATACCTATATCATAACAATGCTTACTATTTTTCCCTTTGATTGTGGTTTAAAACTTACTTGTTACTTGTTCCACTAGCTACCCTTATTTAGTTTAGAAAACACTTTGCTGTCATCCTGGCTCAAAAGGATACTGAAACTCATCATTAGAGAGGGGCTTCCCTGATCTGGTCAAGTCTTGCCTAGTGCAAGGCTATCACCATGAAACACACCAATGACAGACCATGAAAATCTTATATAAATATTTCCAGTGAGGTCTTTTTGGTGAATTGAGCAGTATTCTGGAAGACAATCCCCTAGTCTTTTGCTAAATAGTGTATACTTACTTCCTTAACATGCGCATGAGACATTGCACAGGACTGATGGCTCAAACATCTCAATACCATACAATATTCATTTGAAAAACTGTGCCTTTGCATTCAAAGATGGGCATACCATGTGTTCATGTCATTCATAGAATATACATCTGTATACATTATTAAAGTTAATCTCTTGCAAACTTACCTCCTTTAATATCCACTACTCTGTCTCCGTAACGAATAATAAGCTCCTCCTTAAGCTTAAAAGCATTGGACGGATATCCGGTATAAAAATACACCTCTTTAATGCTTTCCCGCTTAAACTTGTTCATGAAGCGGTGTATGGCATCGAGCATGATAAGTGCACATTGGCGCTGCCCGATTTCTGTATATCGGTTGTAGATCAATGGTAGCACAATTGATTTTAATCCAGCTTTTCCAGCTGTCATCAGACAGTCAATTGTACAGGTTTCAATCTGGAGACTCTGTTGGGTGTAGTCTTTGGCTTCATCGTCATTTCCTCGCACATGGTAGAGATGCTGAAATGGAAGCTTTCCTGCTGATGTTATAACCAGATTCAGCTGGTGTAGCTTATGACTTTCAAAGGCTTTCTGGATTACATCTGTTGGCAGAGCAGCTTAAAAAACAAGAAAGTATAACATATACATTTTTTTGTCTTTCTTACATTTATTTACAAAATATCACATTATTTTAACTGTCATCATTCAATCATCATTTGTTATCGGTTCATGAAAATTTAAAAAAAACCATTTCTGCTTTATTGACAATAGCAGGGCCATATCCACAAATTTCACTGAGGAGGTGGGAGGGGGTGGGGAAGAGATGCAGAAGTGTGTAAATGTGGACCAACTTGGGTACACTAGAATTTCTCATGTTTTATTGTCTTTTTACTCACGCAAGGATTGTTGAAGAGATGAAAACGGTATATATCAATTTACTTTCATTAAATTTATTCCAACTGTAAAAATTTTGCATGCGCAGCTAACACAGTAAATTTGAGTACACTGCATAAGTAATTCAAAGAAGAACTGATGTGTTGAGAGTACTACTAATCTGTAATTCTTTTTTTTTAATGTAATCTTTTGAATAGCTTGTAAAATTTTATAAGACTTTGAAATTTTTTGCTTTGTTTGTGACATTAATAATTTTGTATGCCTTTTATACTGTAAACAATTTTTTTCACAATTCAGTTTTAAAATGCAATGAAATTATGTTGTACTTTTTATTATGAATAAAGATAACTTGATACTAAAGTGTTTCTTACCCTCAACAAGGATTCTTGCAGTTAATCCAGAATAAGCAATTGTGAAATTTGCCGAAGGAGTCACAAGAACATCTGCAGGCTGTTTCTTTGGGTCACCGCTAGCAACAATTAAGCGTGCTTGCGTGTCAGGATATGTGTACTCGCACATTAACTGAGTTGGCATTTGATATGCTCTCACTGTTTAAAAATCATTAAAAAAAAGTTATGCACATATAAATTTAATCATATGAATTTTTCTGCTGATAAATTGCTTTAGCGATAAATATTCAATATATTCTATAATTTATCAACATAATTGCTTTCTTCTAATTTATTTTTACCTCTGGAAAGAAGATTATGTTTGTCTGTCATAAGCAGGATTTGGGTACACATTAACTGATGATAGATCAATGAATGGGGTGAAAAGATCGAAGGTCAAAAACATTATAAAAAAATCATAGGATTATGCCAAAACTAATGGATAATCATCATAAAACCTATGGAGTAGTACATAGTGGTCTTTTGTATTCTTCTATTTTCAGGCAGTTATGTTACTAAGGTGTAAGGTTTTTTTTTTTTAAATCCTACCTTTTCTTTCTTGGACTCCAGTTTGCAAAGCCTGCTGGAATCTCAGTGCCTTCTGTTTGATCCGGTCAATAAATATTACTTCTTTTATACTTGATCTACCAGACATGTGTTCCAAATAATCAAGAACTGTTGACACAATGATATCAGCACATATCTGTGGCAGAGTGGCACTTTTACCAAAATGAAAACGCCAGAGAGAGCTGTACAAGAGTGGGATAGTAATAGACACACAATTGAGAAGCTTCTCACACTGTTGTAGTGAATGGATGATATTCTGTGTTAGGATGGACTGCCATTTATAGTTATCATCAATTCCTGGGATGCCAATGTGGAAGATGTATTTGCATTTGAGATCTCCTCCATCAGTTGTTATGACTCTATTGTCCTGCCTTGAACTTCGCAAGATTGCTAATTTGTCTGTAAATTCATTTGTTGTCTTGTATCCAGCTATACAGCACAAAAACAGACAATATCAACATTAAATACAAATTTATTAAATACTGCTTCTAAATCTGTCATGGTTGAAATGTCTTTAATGATAGTACTCTACAGACTATGCATTCTTGTGTCACAGTTTGCAGGGCCCTGACCCTGACCTTGAAGGGGTCCCAATGTTGATATATAACAGCATAATGTGTCTCCGACACCAACTGTAGGACATATCATATTATATCCAGTGATGGGTTAAAGGGGGCCCATAAATTTGTAATTTTTTTTATTGGAGAGAAAAAGAAAATTGTATTCAAATTGTAATTTGGAATAATTGTGATGGATAACACCAAAGAGGACATATGATAAAGTAACTTGTTTTTGTAGTGTCAAATTTTTACCTTTCTGAAATGCAACACTTCCTAGGCCGAAGCTGACCATACGAAAATTCCTGTCAAAAGTTGTAACAACTATTGCATCTGTGTTGCGATAGCAAATATCACCACAATCAACTGACAAGGAAACATTGTGTAGTTGGTATGTGTGGTATGTTGTCAGCCCTTCTGAAAACATAATGATCTATTTTTGTTACTTAAATCAAATGAAATATATACAAACAAAAAAATTATATACAATAAGATATTGTTTATAAAAATTGCTATGTTATGAGAATAGGTAATTAGCCTGTTTATCAAGGTATTAAGTATTCACAAAGTATACAACATAATATTTGGGAAATTTAAAATTAAAAAACAATAGTGATGGCCCAAAAGCCAGCAGGTACAAAATTCTACAATAATGGTACAGTGATACAAAAAAAAAATTGTAAAATTTGAGAATGTGGAACTGGAAGTGAATCGGGGAGGGGGGGGGTGTGCAAAAATTGAGAAAGCGGAACTAGATCTCTATTCCAATGAATACCTGATGGTCATTTTTAGTAGTGGAACTAATTTGCTGTAATATAATTTTGCCACCCCCCACCCCCAGCAGATGTATTTGTTTAATTTATTACCAAAAGATCCACTGATTAATCTCAGATAAGATAGTTTAATACATACTCCAAGTATCAAAATGCATGCCATCGTGTCGGGATTCAACATTTCGACATATGTCAAAATATTGAATCCTGACACGATGGCGTGCATTTCGATACTTGGAGTATGTATTACTATCTTAATTTATTACCTAACCATTTATCTGTATTAGGCTTACATAAGACAATATTGAATTATTTAGATACTACAGTACAATGAATATATAGGGTGTACAGACGAAGTTTTTGAAAATGGTTATGCTAGACAAGTGGCAGAGAGGAGTCTAATAAGCATGCTGCCAAGGTGTGGTACTTGCCTCATAATGGAGTTTTTTACCCGATGAAGGGAAAACTGAGAGCAGCGTTTTACTGTACTGCAAAAATACAGTGTCCACTGTCCAAAATGGATATCATTTTTTCTCTTCATTGTTTTTTACAATCAATAAAATATTTATTTGATTCTTTCTAAAAGAATATGTGAATTATTTTGAAACACATTAACAAATTTATTATTCCAACCAGGGACAGAACAATGAGAAATATGGTGTTGAAAATGTACCGAATAATGAAAATATAATGTAAAAACTTATTAGCATAATCACATAAGTAACCAAAAACAATAAGTTCCTTGTTAATGTCATCTTGCATTCTGCCAAGTTTGAAACAAATCAGATCATGGTAACAATCAATTTACTACCAACAATGACAGTCACATAAAGAAGAACCAGGGTAAAAACAGTACCTCCCTGGCCTTTTCTCATTTAGGGAAGCTAATTAGAATTTTATTTTTATTTAAAACAATTCCTAATAATCCATTCATTTTTATACTGTATTAAAACTATTAAAGTACATTTATTAAACTAGAAGGTGTGCTCGCTTACCCTCTAGTATATGAACGTTGTGATTACATTCAATAATAAAAAGAACAATATGATCACTAAAAGAAGATAGGCTGCATGTTGCATCTCATTCAGTTATTTCTTTAGTTACGTAATGTCAGAAAAGCAGTTGTTAGATCATGGAGGTACAGTATTAGTGAGAAGATCACTCGAAAAGAGATGTTTTTGACACGACAAACCAGTGTGTTCCCCGCAAGTTGTTATCTATCGTATCATTAACCATTTTTCATTAGCAACAACCTGGCAACAACAGAATTTTATACGCTTTAAACCATGGAGGAATTAGTTTAGAAAAACTAATTCCTCCATGGAACCAGCAGTTTTGCGATGTGGCAAATTAAACTGTTGGACGTGAACTTATATTATCTTTAAAATTACTAATGTTCCCCTTATTAAAATTTTTCAGACTTTTAATATGTTGCTATGTGGATATTTCAGAAACAGATGTATTTCCTTTGCAATTAGTTCTTTCTAGGTTCATCGTAACTTTGTCACAGATTGACTGGACTATAAGCTTAGGCAACTTAAACTGATACTTACTGGTACTCCAACTTTTCTAAAAGCAAAACAGAAAAATAAAATTGTACCCGACCCAGTTTTGAACTGGTCACCACAGGCAAGCTAGCTACAGGCATCCAGAAAATCCAGTCTGGCGCCGCCCTCTCCCAGGGGTCGTCAAAAGATTTGAAAAAAGATAAGTGGAATTCAGAAAAAACATTCATTTTGACCATGAAAAATGTACAGCACAACATATTTTGGTCAGAGGCAGATAAGCACACAGATAATCCCAAAACCGAGTGTGCTTGACGAAAAATGAATATCTTTAACCGACCGTGCCTGAAAACCAAGTGTGCTTGAAAACCAACTGCGTATAAATGACACCTTTAGGCATTCCATATAATACTGCAAAGAGACACAGCTACAGAAGGCCTATACACTGAAATTGTGTTCGTTAAATACTTTTTTTCTAATGTTGGCCCATTGTTAGTAAGGTAATACTTATAATTTCTATGATACACCATTGGTAACTTTCTACATCATAGGAAACATCTCATTAAGTACCATTACAATTTACTGCATCAATATAACCAGAAAGCTTACCTTCATCCTTATACCTTAGATCTTCAACAAAATCTTTAGCTATTGAATTAAACAATTCTTCTGCAATTATAAAAAAAAAATTAATTTCATTTACACAAAAAAAGAAACAAGTTTACTTGAATTTGTAAATGAAAAATTCTTTAATGTAACAGTACATAATATAAATGACTTTAATATTCCAAATTCAATATACATTTACTTTCTTAATTTGGTGATGGATGAGCCAATCGCTGGGCCTTGTCATTCTGCAATTCATATTTCAATAGGCCTAGAAGATTGAGGCTGAAGTAGACAGTCAGGAGTGGGGCTTGATTAAATGTTTTTAAATATTCTATTCTGTCAATAATTTTTAACCTGCAATAGATGAAAGACTTACTTATATTGCTTCCTGTTTTACAGGAAGTCTCAAACACTTTTGCCTTTATACCTGTAAGAAAAAATAAAATCAATAAAACTTATACCTTCAAATGGCATAAAATAATGCAGTGATGAAAAAGAAGCTTACAGTTTATTAGGGTTTTCTTTGCGTATGAGCTGTTAATTCCACCATAAATGGGTTATAGATAGAGAAACAAGTGAATTGAAAACTGAAAACTAAAAACTTAAAAAGAAAATAGCAAGTTATGACTCAATGAAGGGATTCAAAGGTAAAAATAGTTTAGCAAAATCTGCAACTATAAATTATTTGTTGAATATCAATTTGCTGAGCAGTAAAATTTATACCTTCATGTGGCCAAAAATAAGTGAAGAAAGACAAGGGTGCACTTTATTGATGTTTTCTTTACATGAGCTCTCAATTTCACCATTTACCATCCAAGTTCCATGTAATATTTCAGACTTTCTCGTGCAAGGCTCTCCTGAGCATCTTACATTAGATGGATTTGTGCGCTATATAAAACTACACTATTATTATTATTATTATTATTATATATGATTGTTAACAAATGCGGTCGCTGTTATGTTGTTGCTGCAAAGAAGTTAAAACAAATGTGTCTACTTACTATCACCATAGTCTTTTGTTTCTTGATAGTCAACTTCTCTATTCGTTTTATCTACTTTGGTACCACATAGATAAATTTTACAGTTCTGAAATAAAATCACAAATATAATACATTAAAAAATTACAAGCACAAATTAAGTACAGTATCAATAACTGTGTCCCTTCGACCTGCTTTTTGCCAATAATCTGTGAGAATTCATAAAATCAATTATATTGCATATGTGATTTTGTGTTTAAACTAATATACGTTTGTGTTTAGCCATATTTAATTTCTATTTGTGATACCATTATTGTTTTAATGTTTGCAATTTTCAAATGTTTGCTTAAATGTATGTGAACTGTCAAAACAGAAACCTTTTCATTCTGTAGAAGTTCATCAGCCCATAATTTAACCTTCTCAAAACTTGCGGTCTCAGTTACATCTGTTAAATAAAATATGATAAGCATAGTATTAGTTCTGATTGCCTAGAGAGATGTAACACCAAAAAGTACCTTTCAGTCCAAATAATCACATAGATTTAATTATTTCCAGCATAACATCAATTTTCAGGCCCTAAATTTTGGAATTTGTTGCTCTTCTATTTACAGTAGTCAATGCATCTTCCATTAACATTTTTACTAACCAACTCAAAAAACACTTAATTACTGGTTATTAATTTTTTTAAATATTCGATCTCCCCCTCCCCACTCTTTGTTGTTGTTGTTTGTTGCAGTTTGTCGGTATGTATTAGATTTGTTTTGATTGTTTTGCTTCTTGTTGTTTTTTTTTTTTTTCGTTTTGTCCTGTGCTGCCTCTGTCTTCTTTGTTAATCTCCTTTTTTTTTCTCTCTCTTTTCAGGCTATCCCACCACAAAGTGTGTTTGTCTTTTCTTCTCGTGTCTTGCCTTCTTCCTTTCACTTGTTTTTTTCAATTTTCATTATTAATTACTTGCATTTACTTTATATTTTAAAGAAAATTCTTCGTAATTGTTTTCAACAGGAAGTAAATAAACGTTGAATTGAATTGAATTAACTGATGTTTATTATACAATTTTAATTAAACCTGGCCAGTAATTGGATCCTTTCTCTTCTAATAATCCTTAGAATATAGTCTTCAGTATACCAGGTTACATATTTGTATTGTAGACTTAGTTTACCAGGTAAAGTTAACATAACATCAACCTTTGATATTATTAGATCATTTCTGACTTACCATGACATAAAATGGCCGCTTTGGCCCCTTTGCAGTAATTTCTACTCAGAGTGTCATACCTCTCGTTTCCAGCAGTGTCCTGTCCAAAATTAATTTACAATTGCAATTTTATTCAATGTACATTAATTTGTGATAACACTGTTCATTATGTTATTTTGGCTTAAAGTAAAAAGTTGCTGAGACACAATATACAATTTTGTTTTGCTTTCTAATGAATGTAAACTTCATTAATATTATTAGGCTGAGGATAAATACCACAATACTGATACGCCATCTGTCACAAAATGTGTGGGGAAAATGCAAGGAAAACTGAAAACATACCATTTACTTTTGCAATTTTACTACAAAAAAAAACTTAAATTACCAGCCAATTAAAGGGTATGAGAAAAATATTGAATAATATCTATACTGATTAATTGACATTTAAATTGTTTCTCTCAAAAATATTATTTGAAAGCTAATAACCTAATACAAAGTACGTGGTTTTCAGTTTATTTAGCTCTTCACAATTTTTCAACAAGCCTAAGGGGTGCTGTATAAATTCCTAGCCAACTTGTGTTTTTGTTTTGTTTGACTGGTTAAACAATATAATTATTATTTTTACAATTATAGTTTTATTGTAATATAGCAATAAGGACACATAATTTAATGTTTAAATTCTTTTACAAAGAATCTTACATACTCAGGTTTCCTTGATAACTATTTATTACATACAAAATTGCATCTTAAATATTCCTACCCAGATTAGCATGTTAACTGTTTGATCTCCGACAATCACGTTCTTTGATCCAAATGCTACACCGATGGTCTAAAATATGAAAGTAAGTGAAGTAGTGAGTTTGCAGATCACTTTACAGTACCAATGTTTTATTGATTCTGTGTCTTCTTTAGGTTTATGAAGTGCAAGGGAACTACAGAAAAGTAGTTGTTCAGGAACGGGTGCAGTTTTTGTTAAAGGGAGGAAACTGTTTACGAAGGAGAGGCACTAAGGAAGGGGAGTGAACTCTTCTTGTAATTTAAAATCTCGGGACTATATATTATAATATTTAACGTTAATTCTTCCTTTCATTCAATCACTCATTCCTTATTCCGCCTAGTAAGAAATATGTAAACAAAAAAAATAATATTTTAATAATAATGGAGGCAGTAAGTTAAAGTTGAGTTGGATTAACAATAGTGTTTGTGCACACTCGTAGGCCTGTTAATTTGAAGTAGAAATTTATAATCAAAATAATTCTACACTATCATTAAAAAAAATCATCAAAAAAATTTGTTTAATATAAAGTAAGTACAGAAGTGGGTGTCGCAGTCACAACCCAACTGAGGAATATCAGTCATTCATGTGAATCACATTCAAGCCCATAGCCAGGGGGGGTTCGTTGGGTTCGAACGAACCCCCCTTTAAGAAGTGCACTTTCAACAAAGGCTGGCTAGCCTACAATTTAGGCCTAGCCTAGAGCCTATCACCATTAAAAGTCCTATCTTAATACCTGATTGTTAGGCATACCTAGTAACATAAAAAATTCAGGCCCCGAAACTTTGACTCAGAAATACCGGGATGGTGTCCGGCAGGGGATAGTTTCACCTGTGTATATATATATATATATATATA